CTGACAACCATTGGAACTATATGATCACTCCTGTACCTCTGGCAAAGATGAGACTGATCCAAAGATGAGACTGACTGAGCAGCTGGCGTTGGTTTAAAGTCATGATTGTTTACCTCTGGATGAGCCACATGAAGCATTGTTCTTTTGCGTATGCAGATCAGTTTAGGAGCTGATCTTTCAGAGTAATGTTGCATATTGATCACATTTAAAAGATACTGTAAACAGCCAAACCAAAAAATCATATTTGGTGAGAAAATCAGATTTGGGCCACTTTTACCTGGTGTGTGAACGTAGCCTTTGTGTTCACTGGTTGCTGACACTAGATCACATGTGTCAGGCTCCAGTCCTTGCGGGCCAAAACACTGCAGACTTCAGCACTCTGCCTCACTAAACACACCAGATTCAGCTTATCAGCTGATTAGCAAGACCTTCATGAACTGAATATAGAGTGTTAGATGAGGGTAAACACTGATCTGCACTGCACTTTGGACCGGAAGGTCCCCAGTTTGAAAAGCCTGCACTAGATGGCCAATCAGTCACATCAGTAGTTCAATTAACTACCAGTGATTACAAAATCCAGGACCAGAAGTGTAAATTTAGGGTTTAGGGTTTGGGACACACACCTCCCAATAGAAAGTACCCTATTAATGATGGTTTTGAACAAATTTAGCTTATTACTGTATCTACTGATGTCTTGGGTTTAAATAGATCAGAACATCATCCACGTAAATATCTAAGCTCTGAGTATTGTGACTGCAGTTTGAACTAATTCAGTAGAATGCTCCATATACAGTATGGATATTGTAAATCAGGGGTCACCAGTCTTATCTGCATAGAGCTACTAACTATGTCAAGCTTGTAACAATGACAGAACCCATTCTGGTGCTATATAGAACCCTTTTCATCAATTTGAAGAACCATTTCACAATGCACCATTTAATCATGCAAATGGTTCTTGGAGTGTTTATGGCTCTATATAGAACCATTTTCTTCACTGAAGAACCCATACACTACATGGACAAAAGTATTGGGACACCTACACATTACACCTACAGGAGCTTTTATGACATCTCATTCTAAATCCATAGGCATTAATATGGAGTTGGTCCCCCTTTGCAGCTCTAACAGCTTCCACTCTTCTGGGAAGCTTTCTACAGGATTTTGGAGAGTGTCTGTGGGAATTTCTGCCTGTTCATCCAGAAGAGCATTTGTGAGGTCAGACGCTGATGCTGGATGAGAGGGTCTGGCTCACAATCTCCATTCTAGTTCATCCCAAATGTGTTGATGGGGTTGAGGTCAGGGCTCTGTGAGGGCCAGTCAAGTTCTTCCACACCAAACTCACCCAGTCATGCCTTTATGGACCTTGCTTTGTGCACTGGGGCTCAGTCATGCTGGAACAGAAAAGAGCCTTCTGCAAACTGTTCCACCAAAGATGGAAGCATACAGTGGTCCAAAATGTCTTGGTCTGCTAAAGCATTAAGATTTGCCTTCACTGGAACTTCACTGACTTGTGGCAGAGGTGGTATGCAATGACAGTGCCGTGTTTAAAGTCACTGAGCTTTTCAGTGCAACCCATTCTACTGCCAGTGTTTGTCTATGGAGACTGCAAGGCCATGTGCTTAATTTTGTACACCTATTAGCAATGAGTGTGGCAGAAACACCTAAACTCATTCATTAGGAGGGGTGTCCATATAGTGTGTGTGTGTGTGTATACATATGTACATACATATATTTCCATATACACATTTACATACATATGAGCTGATTTTTTTTCAGCTGGTGTCCTGAAGGCCCCTGGCAGCGAGATCAGAGCTCACGTCACCCTGCAGTCATCTCTCTCTGTGTGGGACACTCCGCTGAGATCACTCGTCGTGGGTTATAAATATGAAGACCACCTGTCGGAGCAGCCCCATGACTGGGGGTGGGGGGTGGGAGGGGGGTTCTGGACCTCAGCCTGGAGGCGCGTCTCCGTCTGACCATGTCCAGTCTCTATGGGCTAGCAGGCCAGCCGGGGGGAAACTATATTGCAGGTCAGCAGACTGGTGATGTCACCTTCCTGAGTCCCGATTGGCTGGTGAATATGTAGTCTTGCCATTAATAGAAACATGGACTTGCTGTTTTCCTTTTGGTCTCTACTGTTCAGACATTTGAAATCAGTGTTTTTACAACATAAGACAATTTAATTATAGATAAATGTATAAACTGATACTAATATGATGAAGCCTGTTCAACTTTACAGGTTCCAGGTCAGTAGCAGGATTCTGCATCTAGAAATGAGGAAATGTGAGATGAGTCTGCAGTGATGAACAGAACAGAGGTAGAAGATATTAAACTGACTGAGAGTCAATACATTAATATTCAGAATATAATAATAATAATAATAATAATAATAATAATAATAATATCCAGAATGAGTTTCTAATCAAATTAAAATTCATAATGAAGTTCTAATAAAATTATTATCCAGAAGAAAAATAGTAAAATTAATATCTAGAATGGAATAACCATAAAAATTAATACCCAGAATGAATTTCTAATAAAATTTATATTCAGAATGATGTTCTAAAAAGGAATAACCAGAGGAAAATTCTAATAAAAGTAACACTCTGAAAGAATTTCCAATAAAATTAACATCCCAAATTTTTAAAAAGATGTCAAGACTTCTAAAACATTTTAGATCCAGAATGAAGTTCTAATAGCATCATTATCAAGAAATAAGTTATAATAAAATAAATATTCTGAATATAATTATAATAATAAAATTAATATTCAGAATAACCAAAAATTCAAAAATAACCATACATATCCATATAAATAACCATAATTATGTTCATAATGAATTTCTAATAAAAATCAATATCCAGAAAAAAATAGTAAAATTAATATCTAGAATGAAGTCCTAATACATTTTATATTCAGAATGGCATTCCAAAAAAAAATGTTCAAATTAAGTCCTAAAAAATGAATAACCTGAGGAAAGTTCTAATAAAATGAACACTCAAGAGATTTCTAATAAAATTAACATCCCAAATATTTTTTTAATTAAAATTATTACCCAGAATGAAGTTCTAATAACATTATTATCCAAAATGAGGTTCTGATAAAATCAATATTGAGAATTAAGTCCCATTAAAAATGACAATCAGAATGAAGTTCTAATAAATAATATCCAAAGTGAACAATAAAATTAACATACAGAATAAAAAATTCTAATATATCAACATGCAGAAAGAGGTTATTATAAAATTGATGTTCAGAAGTAAATTATTATTAAAGTAAAAGAATGAGGTTCTAATAATATAAACATCCAGAATCTATCAGGACAATAATGAAGTAAATGCAAAGCTATATTAATTAATTAACTAATTAATTTAAAACAGATAACTGTGTAGAGGACAACTAAATATCAAAATAAATCAAAGTAAATGCAAATAAAATATGTATAAGTAGCGTGTGCATGATGATGTGTTAGTGGAATATATCAATATGTTAGTAGAATATTGTGATTGACTGAAATTATTTATAAAAAACGACAATGGCTAAATAAATAAATAAATAAATAAATAACTGTTCATTGCACTTATGGCTAGAAACGGCCCTGAGATATAAGGAAAAACATACAACATTTATATTTTGATTTCTTCTTTTCTATTTTTTTCTCATTTTTTCAATATTTTTTGCATATTTTTATAGTTCATAAAACACATTTGTATCACCCAGGTTAGTTGTGTCCATGCAACTAAGAATGCGCTGTAGTCCACCGAGAGCTTTGGCTTCATAAAGAGACTGCAGAGGCTGAGCAGATGAAAGGATGATGAGGAGAATCCTTTCTTCTTCTCTCTGAGGATCAAAAGCCCTGACCTGTGTGTCTGTAATGAATGAATGGAGGCCAATAATGAGCCTCGGACACAGCTGGGCCTCTGAGACTGTATGACTGACTGGATCAATAAAAGGTGAACATGCATTTCTAGTTACCTCTCAAGATGTTCCTCTTAATGAGTCTCTCAAAATGCTGCTCTTAACGAGTCCGAACCACCTGTTGAGGAAACTCAGTGAGCATCATCTCAACACTACTCAGTGCTGTGGCTGATCACAGTCAATAGAGCGACATCTAGTGGACAGCAAGCATTAGAATGTCAGACTCGTAAGAATAGAAAAACCCTTTTTGGTGCCATTTAGAACCCTTTTCAAGGTTCTATACAGAACCATCTGCAGCACATTCTTTTCAAAATGCACCAAAAAAGGTTCTTCTATTGTTACAAACTTGATATCGTTACACTAGAAGAACCTTTTTTGGTGCTATATAGAACCCTTTTAAACGGGTTCTTCGGGTGTTCATGGTTCTATGTAGAACCTTTTTCTTTACTAAAGAACCCTTGAAGAACCACCCTTTTAAGTGTGTAGAATGGAGCATCTCACACCATACCACTCTTGAATTTACATCTTAACCACTTAGTTAGACAGAAAATTTTAAAATTTGTTGAAATTTCTCTTTAATCGTACCCTTCTGGGGAAGAAAAAACGTAGTAATACAATATGAAACTGTAAGTTTTCTGTAGTTCTGTATGAGACTTCCATAATTATCTAGAATGCTATAATGCTGCAGATCTTTTTCATAAGGGCACGAATCAAATTCGTTATGTAATTAAATTACATTAATAGCATCTTCCGTATGCTGCATTACTGCCTAGACTGTAATAGATTCCTCCTGGCCGTTAGGCGGCGCCAATCTGCTCTAAATGTTCCTCCTCGCTCCAGCCATGTTGCAGTAGATCTGCACTGGAGGGCGTTATTTTTTTTTCCCTACCTGACTTCCGACAAGTCCCGCCCTTTCTGCGCTGTGATTGGTCATAAGGCTATTCTCACAAACTGTCCGCCCTTTTTGAACATGTAGACCAATCCAAGCGCAGAAGGTGGGACCCCGCTAGCCAATAGAGACGCTGAATGGGCGGGACTTGTCCGAATACGGGTGTGGACAGGCGCTTCATCCCGCCATTGTGTAGTAGAACCTGAAAGCTCTAAACAGACACTTAGCTTAATTAACTCCTCTAGGAAAAGAAAAGACCTAAATATATATATATAAAACGGAATTAAACAGAAAGAAATGTCAGCCAGCAGCCTTCTTGAACAGGTAAAGAGAGGCAATTTGTAAAAAATTATTAGGAACAGTAGGAAAAAGGAAAGAAAAAAGAAAAAAATCCCCCAATTCGAGACGTTGCTAGCTTAGCTTAGCCTCACGGCGTAGGCCCTGTGACTGGCGTCAATACAACACCAAAAATTATTTTACTTTTTTATTTTATTTTTTCCCTCTCATAACTCAAACCTTCATGAATCACCTGGACCCAATCCAGAGACCGAAAGGCCAAGGGAACAAAGGTAAGAAACATTAATTTATATGTATTTTTTCTTTCGCCATTTTGTTGTTCGGATTTTCCCGTTCCACCTTAAATGGTGCAGCAGTTATATGCTGGCGCCTCAGGCGCCATAATGTAACTGCTGCAACATTTAAGGTGGACCGGGGAAACTCGGAACACTGGCGAGTAGCATAGCTTTAGGCCCCGTTTTGCACGCAAACATGATTTTTTAGCCTAACTTACACAAACTGCCACTAATTTCACAAATTAAATCCGTGCGATAGTACTTTTTGTACCAATTATAAATACCACTTTTGTTCGCTGAAGCTGTTTTGTGTTATTAACTCATTATTATTGTCAAGCGGCCTGTTAGCACGCTAGCTAACCCATGCTAGCGCTCCTTTCGGTCAGGCCGAACTCGCTTCATTAATAAAATCTGAGGGAAACAGCTCAGCTGAAGCTGGAAATAACTTGTAATAATGCTTAAAATAATTTGATTTCGTGTTCAGTGTTGAGCTAGAACAGCTGCTAGTGGTTTTTAGTAGTTCTCTTGTGCTTAAACTTTAGCGGCAGGTGGCTAACATAAGGCAGCAGCATGGTTAGCATATGAGGGATAACAGTTACTCACAGTGTTGAATTGGCTTTAATATAAGCTAGTGCTGGGAAATATGACGATATATATAATTATCGCGATAAATTATGTCATGATGTGGTTTTCTAGGCATATCAGTACTTGTAGAACAGTGACCAACTGCATTTTTCATTGTAAAGAGAGCATATTTAGTCCTGTTTAACTGGATTTAGTGCAACACAGTATGCCAAATAGTGAATTAAAGTCATTATATTCATAGTTTTTTTTAATGTAGCACTACTTATTTTTTTTTTCTGTTCCAGCTGATCAGATGATTGAAAAAAGTCCATATCGTGCATTGTAAACATTTCTAGGAAGTATCGCAATATTGTATTTTTGCTGCTCTGTTTATGGCAAAAGTGTATCGCGATATTTCAAGATGTTTTCATGATACACAATATTCATTTTTCCTGGGATTTACTGACAAAATGGAACGTGTGGTCACATAAAAATACTGTATGAAGAATAATACACTTATTTTTATTCAATGTTTTACAAATTGCACTGCACTACATCCAGTTAAACAGGCCTAATTATGCTCTCTTAGTAACAAAACAAGCAGTTAGTCAGTGTTGAGTGTAAAGTTCTATAAGTATCTTTAAGATTATATGCTGAGAAAAGCTTATTGTTACATAAATGATCACAGTTACGATAAAATATAGTCATATTGGCCACCGCCAGCTAACAGGGACTTTTAGCTTCCATCTAAGACAATGACACGTATATAGATTTATATATGGCTAGTACAAGATATTTTGCATGCATTTTGCATTCATTTTTTCCCACCCAATGCGGAAAGATGCATGAGTCAGTGTCATTGTGCTTGCAGGTGGACTGAGTATGGTTTGTTTCATAAGGGACACATTTTGCATACAAATTGAATTTTTTTCTTAATTTATAACTCTGCCAAATCAACACGTGTCTATTTGTCTGGCCCACCTGCATTGTGTGTGATTTAACTGTATCCCCAAATTAAACTTTAGTGAACAGGAAGGAAGTGAGCTTTTTAAAACCGCAGCAGGCGGAGACTTTGATAAGCCACAAATAGAAATTTGTGAAGTCATGCTCATGAGATTACTCTTCTGTGATGCGTCTTAGTTGTTTACTCAACCATTATGCAGGTTATGTGCATTTTATTAATTTTTATTGCACACATTTCTTGGCAAACGGTGGGATTTCCAAGATGTAGCTGAGGTTACCATCCTTTTTTTTCCTCTTTCAGTGCAAAACGGAGCTGTTACCCAAAAGGAGACTCTAAATGATGATGAGTTTGAACCTTATCTGAACGCTCAGCCCAGACAGGTAGGTCCTGTTACACATCCAGACAATGGAGGGAGACCAGAGACATAAACAGTGACTCACCTATTCTAGCCCTTCTTTCATTGCCTATTATCCTCTCTAATTGCATCCTGGTCACGGTGCTTTGTTTTCTGAGTTGAATATGCTTTAACTGTATTGTTTGTTGTTTTATTGTCAGTTAACAGTTAGGACATTGCTCAGAAATGCTTTTGTAAAGCATTGGAGTCATGAAGTGTCATTCATTTAGTGTGCTGTAACTTTAAACACATCTTTTAGTGTGAGGTGGGTGGGGGTTTTAATTGTGGTGATGAAAAAACCTTTGGTGTTTTACTTCTTGTGATTCATGGCAAGTTGTGTGAGAAGAGTCGCCATTTGATTTATTGCAGAGTTATACTTGGAGACGGGAAGGTGTTTGACTTTTTCTCCATTTATTTTATTTATGTATATGTTTTGATACTTTACATCAAGCTGAATGTCTTTGCACTAAAATGAGTCTAAAGACGATGTACATATATACAGGGTGATTAAAAGAGATTCTTCTGAGTTAATTCACGATGTATTTCACTTGTAAATCATTACAGAACAATGCAGTAAAAGTTTACATAAAGTTTGTTATGTAAATTTATAAGTGTCCAATATGACGTGCTCCAGCTGTACGGACAACATCAATGCCACGGTCAAATTCATTCCATACTCGATTGAGAATGTCACTGTACTCACGGCTCTTTCAGTGCGATTTCGGAGATCATCCAGTTTTGTGGAACCAATGACGAACGCTCTGAGCTGTTTGAGGTTCATTGCCGACAAAAATCACGTTGCACAGTTAGGAAGGATTCACTCTTATTGAAGTGGAGAACGCAAAACGCTTTCTGCTCAGGGGTCTCCATCTCCTCGCAGACTGAAGGAAGCCATCTTCCATTGACAGTCAAAAGCTCTATGACCCCCTCTTTAAATTGGTATGTGATTGGTTCCTAGGCACCTCAAGGTTGTGAAAATATGGCGCTTTGTAATCAGATGAATGTTTTTGAATCACCTTGTTTACAGTCTTAAGAGTTCTTCAAGGGTCTTTAGTGAGGGGAGTGGTTTTATTTAAATGGAGTTCTGTGCAGAACCGTTTCATGCTTAAATAATTTCTTTGCATTGTGAAATGGTTCTTCAGATTCATGGAGTATGTGCTATAAGTTTTTTTTTTTTTTATTTATTTTTGAAAATGGTTCTATATAGCACCAAAAAGGTTCTTTTATTGTTACAAGCTTAATATCATGACACCAGAACCCCTTTTGGTGCTACACAGAATAAAGTTCTCCATCAGTCTGAAGAATCATTTCACCTTGCAAAGAATCAGTCAAGCATGAAATGCTTCTACACAGTACTCATGTTTCTGAATGGAACCATTCCCTTCACTAAAGAACCCTTGAAGAACCATTTTGTGCTGAAATGAATCTTTGCATGGTGATACAATTCCTCAAATTGATGCAGATTGTGCTGTATGTGGTTCTATGTTAAACCCTTTTGAAAATGGTTATATATTGCACCAGAACGGTTCTTCTATTGTCACAAACTTTATATCGTAACACCAGAACCCATTTTGGGGCTATATAGAATCATGAACAAAACATTCTGAAGATTTCACCATGCAGAACCATTTAAGCATGAACTAGTTCTATAGAGAACTCATGCACTCTTAAAAGGAATGGTTCTTGAAGGCTTCTTTAGTTCTATGCATGACTGAAGGGTTCTTCAGATTGATGGAGAATGTGCTGTAGATGGTTCTATATAGAAATGTTTTGAAAAGGGTTCTATGTAGCACCCAAAAGGGTTCTTCTATTGTTGTTTGACATCATGACAATAGAAGAACCATTTCAGATGCTATATAGAACCCTTTTCAAAAAGATTCTATGTAGAGCCGTCTACAGCACTTTCGTAAGAATCCTTTCATGATGCAAAGAACCTTTTAATCATGCAAAGCCTGCCTTTACTGTTCATGGTTCTGTATAGAACTGCTTTTTTGCTAAGGAAACCCTTGAAGAACCATCTTTTTTAAGAGTGGTTCTAAAAAGAACCATTATCTTTGCTTTAAAAACTCTTTAAGGGTGTACATATAACAGACCCATCCGAGCGCTGATGCACCTCTTTCTGCTCTGAACTTAATTCTGGGTGAACTTTGTGCAAAATAACTGAGTGGCGACCGATCGGATTGTTGATATATGGTGCCGATTGTCATGTGGTGAGATTTAACACTGGAACGCACACTGAGCTGGAGGTTTGATCGTTGTAAAGCGTTATCATTATGTTATTGGTTTGTTTTTTTTTTTTTTAAAGCTTAAAAACGGTATTAGGCCGCTTTGGTGTTCAGAACTTGAGTGTTTTAATGAAACACATCCAAAGTGGCCGTCGAGGAAAGCAATTCCACTCACTTTAATGAGATTGCATCAACTTAAACAGTGCACAGCTTCTGCAGATTCTGAAAACGTATAAAGAAAAGTAGAAAAATAGAAATGCTCTCCAAAACAAGCACACAAGCCTGTGCTGTGTTCAGATGATTAAAAAGTAAAGATCTCTGTATTAAAGTTTTGAAATCAGAGGATGCTTCAGCCCCCTCAGCAGCCCATCCTCTGTTCCAGGTGATCCTGATAAAATTCACTATCTCTGTTTTCTGAATATCAGCACCTGGTGGTATTTAGTTTAGCATGAATAAAGTTAATTACCCCGCACATCCTGACTACTGGTGCGCTAAAATAATGTCTCGCAAACCTGAAATGGCTTGTTTTGAGTGAAAACTACTTTGGCGTTTGACATGCACTGCAGATAAGGATCGGTTCTTGGGTGCAGAGAGTAAAATGTGCGAAAATAACTTTAAAAAGAAAAAAAGGGGGAAACTGCTGCTTTATGGGCAAAATATTATGGATATTGCTCATGATCTGTTAAAAATATCACTTAAACAGACATCACATCACAGCAGTAGTCAAAATCACTGCATGCAGATATAGCTGATATATCGCCCAGCACTGCCAGCTTGTTTATTTGTAATGGAATCAAACTCGTCTTGCAAAAATTGACTGCATATAGAAACCCGTGTGTCCTCATGATGTTATTGGGTGGTCTTTCTTGTGAGGAAAAATGGGACGCAGTGGGGAATAAAGGGGCCAGTATTCCTCCTGTCAAAGGAATGCTGAATCCCTTTGTAGTGAATCTGTGCCACTGTGTTTTCCCCTCTCACATGGGGCTGATCGCTGGTGTGTAAATATGCACGGGCTGAAAACACAGCCAGGCTCTGAGCCTGCTTGCCCAACCTCGGGGGGTTCCCAGTCTTGGAGACCCCATAGTTTGCATATTTTGTTTTTTTACATAATTGGACTCAAATGATTCAACTCACCAGATCGTTAGAAGGCCAGGCAAGGAGTTTTAGAGCAAAGTCTGCGTTGATCGTCGGTATAGATTACCCAAAAAAAAGCAGGGATGCACAGATTTAAGATTTTCAGATCAGTACTTGATGCATTTATTGCACTTAAAAAAGCAGAATGTTGGGCTGCTGTGCTAAAATATCAGCATTTTGTTGATTTTGCTTCACTTGTAACTTTACAGAAATAAGTGTTGTCTTCCTCTAATGCTAATCCAGGTAGTCACAGTTTTCACATTTAATAAATTCTTATGTATCTGCTTTGAGCAGATGCATCGAGCCACAGAGACACGTTCTCGCATGCCATTGCTTCTAAAATGTTATGATGCAGTTCCGATCGTATTCTGTGTGTTACAGCAAGATGCATTAAGTGAAGCCTAGCCAAACTGGCTTGTACCACCAGTGTGCTTGGAGGGGTCTCTCGCAAAAATTGTGCGCGCACGTAAACATATGTATGTATGTATGTATGTATGTATGTATGTATGTGTTACATCAGTTAGGGATTTTGGATTGACAGTAGCTGGTGCCCCCTTGAGTACTGAATGTTTCAACCAAGTATTGTCGTTTGCGTACTTGGGTTAACTATGTTTCTGGCCTCATGTAGGATATAATTCATCTTGAAGCTCTTGCAATTCGAAAATTGCATGCTTTCAAGTAGTAATTTATATATAAAGTTGATTTATCACTCATCACTAAATGAATGGTTCGATTAGTTACTCAATCGACTAATTGTCAGTAGACTGATTAAAAAAATCAATTTAAGAGAGAAAAAAGAAAATATATTGTAGAGAGAAAAAGAAAATATATTGTCAGCAGACTTAGACACACAACATATATTTTTACATATTTCTGTTTCCTTAAGAACTGATATTTACAATATGCACAGTAAAGTATCACAAAGTATCATAACAATAAAATGTCAGTGTAAAAAGAATGACAAGAAGAATTTGAGCATCTTTATAAATGTGACATCTGCATACTTGTGCTTAGAATGCGCTCTGGCTTTCAGTCTCTGTGCTTGTGCACTTTGTGCTACAAACTGAATCACGCAGGGCCAGTTTCCTAAACTAAGCCTAGACTAAATGACTTTACCAGTGAAGCATTGGAATGGCAGTTTAGTCAAGAATCCAGCCCCTAGAGCTGTCTGAGGTCTGCAACTGAGCACATTCCTTGGGATGCAGTAAAATCGAGGGCGTGGCTGCGTAATTGCAGGTCACTCCCCATGAAAATGAACAGGGACTCTCCTCCGCCAGTGGGTGCGGCAGACGGGGATTTCTTCAAGGACACGTGTGGATGGTGTGAGGACTGAATGACTGGGCTTATGTGTTTTGCTAATTGCCTTTTTGGGAAAAGCCCTTCAGCACTCACAATTTTATTAAGATTACATGATCATTAGCACGGACAACAAGCACTGAACAAACAAAAGTAAACTTGGGTGCAATATATAAGGCACACAGGTATGTTGTGTTCAGAATGCAACAAGATAAAGGTTTGCAGGTATGTTTAATGGTTAAACTGTGTGTTGTTGAATGAATGATAAACAGAACTTCAGCAAGTAAATTCCAGTTATAGGTCACTGCCTGGTCAAGAGGATGGTATAAAATGAACTTGTAGTTCTTTTCTTCTGGACTTAACAGTGCTGCATAAGATGTTACTCGTTAAATGTTCTCATGTTATTGCCCATGACCGTGCTGACCTTGTGCAAGGATGTAATATGTTAAAAGACCCTTTAACAAATAAGAGGAGACTCAGGATGTTCGAAATCCCACAAAAGCAAATGAATTCTCAAAACTTCAGGCATGCAGTGTTAAAGATTCTGTGGTATAGAATGGTAAATGTTTCCTGATCTGGTTATTCATATACATGTTTGCTAATTTTTAGTGCCGAAAGCTTTCTCAGTTTATTAATGCATTGTTTTTCCGTCTTTTCAGAGCAATGCCTATACGGCCATGTCAGACTCCTATATGCCCAGCTACTACAGCCCCTCCATAGGATTCACCTACTCGCTGAATGAAGCGGCGTGGTCTACGGGTGGCGACCCCCCAATGCCTTACCTGGCCTCTTATGGACAGCTTAGCAATGGGGAGCATCACTTCCTCCCGGATGCCATGTTCGGCCAGTCGGGGGCACTGGGGAGCAACCCTTTCCTGGGACAGCACGGTTTCAACTTCTTTCCCAGCGGGATTGACTTCTCGGCCTGGGGAAACAGCAGCTCTCAGGGACAGTCCACTCAGAGTTACGCCTACGCTCCAAGCTCGCTAGGGGGCGCTGTGATCGATGGACAGTCTCCCTTTGCAGCCAACGAGCCGCTGAACAAGGCCGTGGGGATGAATAGTTTGGACCAGGGCATGGCGGGGCTTAAGATAGGTGCGGCAGGGGGGGATATGACTCCTAAAGTCGTTGGTTCCGGACTTCCCGGTGGCCCGCTAAGTCAGGTTTCGGCAGCTCCTAGTATGCCTGCGGCCTCCATTGCGCCTGCTAAAGCAGCTTCCTGGGCAGATATCGCTAGCAAACCAGCCAAACCGCAACCCAAGCTCAAGACCAAGGGTGCTCTAGGTGGAACAAATCTTCCACCCCCGCCGATCAAACACAACATGGATATTGGGACTTGGGATAATAAAGGGGCGGTGCCTAAAGCAGCCACTCCTCAGCAAACCGCCATGCCCACCAATGGACAGCCGCCCAATCAGGCGTCTCCTCAGCCTGGCACCACCGCTGGAGGTGTGCCACAGCTTCCAATGAGCAATGGACAGCTGGTGCACCCGACTGGTCAAATTGTGCAGCACCCACAACCTCTAAATGGCCAGCAAAGCTTGGCTCAGCATCCTCAACTTTCCCAAGCTCCTCCTCCTCCAGCTCCTCCACAGCAGTCTCAACCAACCCGCTGGGTACCGCCACGTAACCGTGCCAACGGATTCGGTGACGCAGTGGGCGGGGCCGGGACAGGCCAGTCGCCTCCCAGCGCTGGACTAGGTGGAGTCCCAGTTCAGTCGGAGCCTCACCCGGTTCTGGAGAAGCTTCGACTGGTCAACAACTACAACCCGAAGGACTTTGACTGGAACCCCAAGCAGGGTCGCGTTTTCATCATCAAAAGTTACTCTGAGGACGACATCCACCGCTCCATCAAGTACAACATCTGGTGCAGCACGGAGCACGGGAACAAGCGTCTGGACGCGGCGTACCGCTCTCTGGGCGGAAAAGGCCCGCTCTACCTACTTTTCAGCGTCAACGGGAGCGGCCACTTCTGTGGCGTGGCGGAGATGCGATCGCCTGTGGACTACAACACCTGCGCCGGCGTGTGGTCGCAGGACAAGTGGAAAGGGCGCTTCGACGTGCGCTGGATCTTCGTCAAGGACGTTCCCAACAGCCAGCTGCGGCACATCCGCCTGGAGAACAACGAGAACAAGCCCGTGACCAACTCGCGCGACACACAGGAGGTTCCCCTCGAAAAAGCGCGACAGGTGCTCAAGATCATCGCCAGCTACAAGCACACCACCTCCATCTTTGACGATTTCTCGCACTACGAGAAGCGCCAGGAGGAGGAGGAGAGTGTGAAAAAGGTAAAAACCCTTGCCCCGCTTGCTCTCTTGTGAACAAAAAGCTTTTAACAGCCTGTGTTGCTACAGATTTTGGGAAGGCTGAGGGAAGTGTTTTAAGATTTTTTTTTGTTGACCTTAAAGGTCTGTATGTGTGGTCCACACTTCAGTACTGCAGCGCTTGCGTGTAGCAGATAAAAACTCATGGTAGTTACTGAATGTTTCATAGTGGCTGCTGTATCTTAAAGGGGAATTCCACTGATTTTGGAAAATTTCTGCATAATTAAATTATAAATAAAGTCATTCAGAGTGGTTCAAGTAACTTGTATAGTCAGAATTCTTTACTGTGGTCGTGAAGGGAACCAGGCCTCCCTCACAAAGTGATAACATGAAATGGTTATGATTACAGATTACAGCAAAAGTTTTGAGAACATAGAAGACTCATTGGGCCTCAGTCTCCAATACCTTCTTAAGTTTGTTTTTAAATGTTTTTGAAAAAGGTCCTAAGAAAAAGTCTCCATTAGATTAATGACGTGTTCTTAAAGCGCAGAACTGTTCTCACCTTTGTCCTCTTGTGTGTCGATGCTGTTCTTACCTAAGAACAAATCTCAAAAATTTGTTCTTAAGAACGGTTGGTGAATGAGGCCCAGTTTTAGGTAGTGGATTCGGATTGTAAATCAGTATTTGTGTTGTATTCCTGGTGGGAGTCGGTAAGTATTTCACTTCAAACTATTCTGACTGACTGTTTTTGACCTATTTTTTGTTCTGTGCTTGAGTTATGCAGAAATTTGTCAAATCTGTGGAATTCTCCTTTAACTATTGATGCACAATGATATGAATCTTATTATTATTATTATTTATTATTATTATCAGCATAATTGCTTAAAAAATGTCTAGAATTGTCTGATATATTGACACTTGGCTACTGTACTGAAATTTATATTTTTAGTTTTACTGTGTTTATAACCTTTCAGAAATAAGTTTTGCATTTCTCTGTAAAGCTTATCTACACGCTTAAAAAAGATGGTACCTCAAGGGTTCTTTAGTAAAGAAAGTTGCTGTATTTACAATCATGAACACTCAAAAAACCCTTCGTATGAGTAAAGCATTCTTTGCATCGTGAAGGGGTTCTTCAGATTGATGGAGAATGTGTTGTGTATGATTCTTTAAAGCACCAAAATGGGTCCTGGTGTTATGATAACAAGCTTGTAACAACAGAACCATTTTATATATAGAATATAGCGCCAAAACGATTCTATTGTTATAAGCTTGTTATCGTAACACAAGGACCCATTTTGGTGCCTTAAAGAATCATACACAACACATTCTCAAAAAGGTTCTATATAGAACCTCACGCAACACATTCTCCATGAATCTGAAGAACTTTTTCACCATACGAAGAATCATTTAAGCATTAAATGGTTCTAGATAGAGCTATTTCCTTCACCAAAGAATCCTTGCGTACAGTTCTATATAGAATCTTTTTAAAAGGGTTCTATATAGCACCAAAAAGGGTTGTTCTGTTATTACAAGTTTGACATCGTAACAATAGAAGAACCCTTTTTGGTGGTATATAAAATTATATACAACACATTGTCCATCAGTCTGAAGAACTATTTCACAGTGCAAAGGGTTCTTTGAGTGTTCGTGGTTCTATACTCTACTAAGAAACACTTGAAGAATTACCTTTTAAGAGTGTAGGTGCGTTTATTCCCATTTATTTCTGTTTCCATTGATGTTAATATCAACATCAGCAGATATGTAAATATAAAATCCCGGATATTGACAACCCTCAGTTCGGCGATTCCCCCATCACAGAGTTCAAAGGGTGAAATGTGTTATTCATACAGTATCAGAAATTATTATGAGGCCAGTAATTAGTTGTAAGCCTAGAGTAGCTGTTTCTGAAAACATGCCACTCTTATAAAAGTGTCCCGGTTGAGTGAGAGGTGTGATATTCTTTGTGAGGAGGAGGAAAAAGTAGCAAAAAGAAGAAAAACTACATATTGTGGTGTTAAAGTGCATTCTTGTCATTTTGTACATGTTTTAGTCCACTTTTTCAGTCATCAGGTGTCAGAAACTGATTTTAGACCAGTCATGAAGGAACTTGCGTCTGCATCCAATGCAGCTAGTTTGCTAATATGCTTATCTGTTCTTATAAATGCTTTAAAATGCGGCAGTGTGGCAATCATTCACTGAAAGGTAGCGATTGAACAATTATTATAACCACATTTCCCCACTAGAGAGCTGCTAATGGTCTTCTTTTAATGGTACATACCGTTTGTATCTATCTATCTATCTTTGCATTAACCCTCTGGGATCAGAGGGCATCGATTTGTTCATATCTTCTTAAACACTCCTTTAAAGGCTCTTCGTATAACATGATACTCGTATGTTTCACATCAAAATGCTCTTCATCACTACTTTCCAAAACTGCTGCAGCAACTTCAGCAGCTGTAAACTCTCTGCACGCCATTTCACACGCGTCTCCCATGTGGACTGAATGAAGAATGAAGGGTTTCCGACGTGATGGGTCAGTCCTTAGTGATTTCCTGAGTGTCCATCGGTCAGCTTCACACAGAATGTAGACGGGCACACGAGTCCACCAATTCAACATGGTGAGAGGCAGATGACGTGTTGCTTCATAGTCTCATATGTTTGTAGTCACATATGATCTCGTGATAAGATGGAATGGAAAGAGCGACTCTACAGATTCAGGAAATGTTTGAACCGTGTTTCTGCACTGAATTATCACAAAGATATAGAAACAAAATTTGATGTGCGGGCAAGTTTGTGGACCCCAGAGGGTTAAAACGTCTTGACCACGTGTTTGCATGGTACTTTGCTAATCTCATACGGAAAGTTCCACAGATTTGGTGGTTTTAGATGCACAAACATGTCAGATTTTCACAGATGCTCATTTTTTGTGTTTTCTTTAAGCTTGGTCAGTGCATGCTTTGCTATACGAAACAGCTCTTCTTTCTATTGAATTTAAAGTTCAGTCAGGTAGTAATTTGTCACTCTAAAATGTTTTGAGTGTTTTCACTGGACTGAGCTGTGTGGCACATGACAAAGAACAAAGCGAGTCTGATTGGGGGGAATTTGCCTGTAAACAAAATGAATGTGACCGCAGGTGCGTAGGAAGACTTGCACATTTTGTGCATAACTGCAGTGGTGTAAAGGTAAGGTTAATACAATGCATATCACAACTCCCTCTTTTCTGCAGTTGCATCACTGCGCTGATGTGTTTTTCCCCTGGATCATTTCTCAGTATGATTGAAAGGGGATTTAATGGGTATTTTGCACCAACACGTTGGGATTTATCAAACGTATAAAGCGCTCATAAAGAGTAAGATGACTGAACCAGAGCCAGCAGCAGTTTAACCCATTTATGGTCAACTAAATTCAGTATGGTAAGGAAAAATGCTACAGACATTGATGAAATTTTGTGTAGTTAAACCTTTTGTAATTTTATTACATGTCATTTTTTATGGTTTTGTGAAAGTCATGAGACTAAATTTTATTGATAAACTCATTTTTAAGTCATATGAATAAATTGTTGTGAAATGTGAAAATTTTGTGCTCAGGCATTATGAAGACCAAAGGAAAATTATACATTTTTGGTCTGAAAATTTCAGGATTAATTATTGGGAGGTAGGTAGTGGCAGGAGGTGCAAGGTTTTACACGTAGCATCATAATTCATAGTGAGAATATACCTCATTGTTTGACAGTATTTATCATTATCGTGATTAATTGCATCTCAATATGCTGCAATGTGCTTTTCTGAGCGTATCATGGATATTGTCACTACTTAATCACTTCCCATCTTCCTGTTTCGTTACAAAGAGAGCATAATTTAACCTGTTTGATTGGATTTATTGCAGCTCAGTGTGCGAAATGTTGAGTACAAATAATTGTATTCATAGTGTCTGATAGTGGCTTTTAAGGTGGTACTACTTAACAAATGTCAGAAAAAAAAATTGACACATTGTGAAAACTTCTTTGAAACTTTATATTTAATAACATCAAAAATATCTAATATCTGTGGTCTGACAAGCTTAATGTGACCACAGGCAAGAAGCAGCAACATTTTTTGAAAAGGGAAAAAAAAGATTAATTTTTATTTCCACTTGGCTTTAAATTAGGGGTGCATGTTATCAGTATCGGCAGGTGTTTGTCCAAATAAAATTCTGATAGATGATTAGTTGTGACAAATATTTCAAGCTTATATTTGATATTTTAATTGCACTCCAGTAGAGAAGACCTTTTACAGGGTAACTCCACCGACTTAACAGTTCTACATAATGAAAAGATTGAGATGTAAACAGTCATTCAGAGTGGTTTGGTGTGAAATGCTCTGTTCTGGAGAAACCGAGTCAGAATTGTTCACAGAGGTGGTAATAGGAACCAGACGTCCACCTCTAAAAGCTCCCTCACAGAAATTTATTACATGAAATGGTTATGAATTCACTGCCTGATGACTGAGACATTCTGTAATGGTTTTGCAATAGTTCTTGCTTAAAATGTATTTTAATCCATTTATTTCAGTCCATTTATGGTGGAGGGATACATGCAGGGTGCTGTGGGACAAAATGGTCTCCAAAGAAAACTTAATATCTCAGATTTTCTACTATTTTATCATCAACTTTCCATATAAAACTCAGATACGTGTAGGTTCACTGGCAGTTTTGGATAGAAAATAAAGTGTCTGTATTTGTGTTGTAGTCTTGGCGACCCCTGGTTCCTATCACCATTACTGTAAAGAAATCTGTTTACATCTCACTCACTCAATTATATAGAAGTTTTTAAAATATGGTGGAATTTTCCTTTGAGCAATGTTGTGCTAAAATGTCTGCCCTTTATTCATTTTACTTCATCTGTAGCCCAACAGAAATAAATGTATGAACTTGGAAAATTGTGGAAATCAGCATCAGCCTGTTAGCATATTGCTGCGTCCATGCTTTGAATACTTTAGAGACTCACTGTGGTTTTCAGAATTATTTATTTTTTGTTTTAAAATTAACAAATAATGAAACACAAAACGATTTATAAGTTCTAAAGCTGATGTACATGAATTTAGAGCTATTCTGAGTGTTCCCCTTTGGGATAGACCCTTTGAAGGATGTTGGGTGTGAGCACACACGGTCACAGTTTGCTTTTGTTAGCATCTCACTTTGTGGTAATTTGGCCGGTGTTAGAACTTTGATGGTTCTTGCGCAGAAATATCTTTCTTCACTGGCTGTGCAGTAAGGGGAGTTCTACTGATTTCCTAACATTGCTGCATAATTGAATAGTTAAGATGTAAACAGTCATTCAGAGTAGTTTGATATGAAATGATCTGCTCTAGAGAAACTTACCGAGCCAGAATTGTTCACAGTGGTGGTGATAGGAACCAGACGTCCACCTCTAAAAGCTCCCTCACAGAAAGTTATTACATGAAATGGCTATGAATACGACATTATTTTGTGATAGTTTCAAGAAGATTTTGGTCTGAAACGTTTTAAATCCTTTCATGGTGGAGGGATGCATGCAGAGCGTTGAGACAAAATAGTCCCCAAAGAACACTTATTTCAGATTTTACACTGTTTTGCCATCAACATTCCATGTAAAACTCATGTGTAGGTTTATTTAAAAAATGAAATTGTTTTCTGTTATAGTGTGATCACTCAGTTCAGCTGTGGATGCCTTGGAAAAAGCATGTGGTATTTATATTTTCACCGTTTTTAATAAGTTTACTTAGCTCAACAACTGGGACACAAGCCGTACGGAAAAATGCTGTGAGTTTTCCCAAGACGGTCTGTCGCGCTCTGGGAAACAGAGCAGAGACTTTACTGCAGCCTGACTGCTTTTTAAGGCCCTGTAATAACCCTGTGTATTAACAGTAACAGTGAATAAAACATTATTGTACGTATTACTTAATGTTATTTAGTTGTTTAAAGTTAAACTGATTCTCTCTAGTTCTGTCATTTTACCAAAATGGGGCCCTATTGCCCAAAAATATAATGCGATCTTTCAAGAAATTTTCACTATGCACAATTTTCATGTTGACGGAACAAAACCTCATCTCCAAAATGGTAACTTTAAAGGAGAAGGAAAAAATCTACTTTACTTTTAATGTAAATCTATGGAATTTTTTCCAGGTCATTTTGGCCCTTTTAAATCAATATTTGCCACTAAATTTAGTTAAATGGCACTTATTTTGCTCTCTTTTTAATGAATATGCAGTTGGTCAGTGTCTACAAGTACTGATGATATAAACGATATGTTCAGGAAAGTTTATTGTATTGCAACACCATTTGTCATGATATATATTGTCCAGTCCAAGTACACAATGGATTTGGTGCAACAATTGTTTAGCTGCATCTCGTGGCGACGCTGTTCACTTATTTCCGGTACTGCCATCTGTTTTTACACATGCACAGACTTAAGAAATCCGAAAGAAATCAGAGTAAGAGTTTACATGCCTGAGAAATCTGATTTATTGAGCTAAAATCCAACCTCTTTATCAGATTTCTTAATCAGATTTCTGGACTTTACTCCGATCTAAGAAATCACAGTGTGCTGTTTATATGACCATTTGAATAATCAGATAACTGCAGAAATCTGATTTATGATCAGATTATTGAGTGCCTGTAAATGCTCTGTGTCCAATGCACCACTGTTTCTGTTTAAATGGATGTTTTGTTGGGGTTAATTGCAGCCCTGGTGTATTGGGTTCTGAATCTTAGTGTTCAGGTTTCCAGAGCAGGTGAGGTTTTGTGTGTGCTTTCATTCAGTATTTGGCATCTGTGCTGCATTAAATCCACTTATATGGGACTAATTTTGCTCTCTTTATGATGAAACATGCTGTCGGTCAGATAATACAGCTCTACATTTCCCTGATGTTTGATTGCAGAGATTTATACCTCTGGTTTGTATGTGTTTACCTATACAGGTGGAGGTGCAGGGGAGCGATCCGTACTCGAGTAACCCCAGCCGGAGTCACTACAGACTGCAGGTAAAACACACCTGGATCATAAATAACGATGCAGAACTTTGTTCTTGATCAGTGTCTTCCCGTCCTGGTCTTTTTACCCCATGAGCACTTAGCCTGCCAAAACCTGTACATTTTAAATGGACGTTTTGGCCAAATGTGTTCACCATTTGACAGTTAGCATTTAGCTAATTGGTGGGATGTACGTTTACATTAGTCTTTAGCTAAATCAGATTTGTATCTGTAGTGCACAAGTAAACTTCACACGCCAAACATGTCTCCGCTGATTGACTGCGTTTGAGGTAAGTTGGGTGAAACTGGGTGAACTGGATTGTCACTCTATTGGAGATTGGAGAGTTTATTTTAATAGCAGCGAGAAATGTAAAATGTGCAGGGCAGGGTTACACACTTAAAGATGGTTCTTCAAGGGTTCTAAAGTAAAGGTACTGGTTCTGTTTACAACCATGAGTTCTGTATAGAGTCATTTAGTGCCATTAAATGCCATGTCATTTTTTCTGATTGTTGTATATGGTTCTAAAATAAGGATGTAGAATTGCACACTTAAAGATGGTTCTTAAAGGGTTCTTTAGTAAAGAAAGTGGTTGTATATAGAACCATAAACATTCAAAGAACCCTTTGCATGATCTTTGCATCATGAGATGCTTCTTCAGATTGATGGAAAATATGCTGTTGATGGTTCTAAATGGTTTTGGAAAGGGTCAACCTTCTGACAGTAGAACTATTTATATGGAACCATCTAGAGCACATTCTCCATCAATCCGAACAACACTTTATGATGCAAAGAACCTTTTAATCATGTTTGAATGTTATATAGAGCTATTTTCTTTACTGAAGAACCATCTTTTTTAAGACTGTACAGAACTCATGGTTCTAAATAGAACCATTGCCTTTGCTAAAGAACCCTTAAAGAACCAGTGTATACTTCGGGACCAAAATGAAGAATAAGTTTGTAGATGGTGGTTGTATTCCTGGAATGTGCTAAAATAATTTAGTTTCTTTTTGTTTCTTAACTTTAGGTGCTTTATAAAATAAGTGAAAATGAGAGATGAGCTCTCAGGCTTCGTGATATCTGCTGTTGTTTGGTGTGTTTTCCTGAGTGGGTGTGCACCGGTGTAAAAATAACATCAACAGTGAGAATTTAACTGCAGTTTACTCTCACTTAGAGCTCCCTATAACTCCCTATAACTGTGATTGTGGCCTCAGTAACACTGTGGTTAAAGAGGATATCAGGTCAAAACGATAGTCATTAGTGATACACTGATAGACTGTATTATCAGCACCTTAGTAAACAGATGAAATACTAACAGATCCATGTTCAGCACCACTTCGTAGTGCTGTCAGGCCTGCCGTTATGATAGTGTATCCAGGTATGTCACAGTTTGCTTTTCTGAGCAAATTATGGATGTTGTCCGTACTTATACACTTAGGAACTCCATGTTTGATTACAAAGAGTGCATAAATAATCTTGTTCAGTTGGATTTAGTGCAGCACAGTGTGTAAAATGTTAACTACAAATTAAATAACAAATTAAAATTAAATAAAGTTCAATTTTTGGTAGTAAAATTTGGCATTACTTTCTGTTCTAACTTACCAAATGTTAGAAAAATAAATATTGTGACACGTCATGTATCAAACTTTTTGAAGTATCATAACGTTTTGCCATATCACCCACTTCCTATTTCTTTGATTTATTTTGTGTGAAAGTTATTTCACACAAGTGAGCAGAACTTGAACACTCCATAGTGTGTACTCAGGTTCACACTAAACAGGTTAACTGTGGTCTGACAAAAATCTCGGTGTCTGGTTCACTTCCAAATGAACTCTGGTTCAGTTCACTGCTGGCAGGAGTGCATTTTTGTGACTAAACGAGGGAAATCAGCATCAGACCACTTTTCTGCTTCTTCTAGCCACACTTCGGCGCTGTAGTGTCTGCATAATCTGCCTGTTATAACGTCTCACAGATGCTCGTATCGTTCTATGAGCTGCTGCTAAGAACAGCAGAGCAATATAATAATAGCAAAGCAGTGCCTGTAGTTTTGGCATATGGGCCGCACATCATTGCATCAGTGACTTGATTGGTTGGTCAATTTAAATTTAACCAATCATAAACAAGCAGAAATGAAGTAGGTTAATTATAATTAATTTGACTGTCGCAAAGATGTTAAGCATCTCTATTCTCATTCAAAGTGAATTTTTTGGCTCAAATGGTTGCAAACTTAGAATAACAGAGCGCTTATATCCCTGCAAAATATCCGACCAATGAACAAGCACTTGTGTGTAATTTGGTGCACTTGTTCTTAAGGCTCTGCTACTGGTGCTACAGCTATGTTACAGAAGGGACACCCTGTTTATCTTCCAGCATGTGATTTTAGCTCTGCAGATACTGACCTTCTGCAAACACCTTTTGTAAAATACAGAAAATGTGGAGAAAATTTGTTACTCTGTTATTCTAAACTGTGAAGCTCGGTTCACCTTTTATTAGACAGTCAAGCTCAGAGCTCACTTTTAATGAACATCTGAAAATGCAGCTCTTTTATTTGCCATTTAATTAAAATTTGACAATCTTTTGGTATTTGTTTTTAATGTGATCTGTCTGCCTTATCATTTTAATTGAATATTAAACCACCTGTCTGTAAAGCACTTTGGCCTGCCATCTGTATGAAAAGTGCTCTATGAAGATATTATTATTATTATTATTACTATTATTTAGCAGTTGTAGTGTGAAACCAACTGTACCAAATGAAAGGTTCAGTGTCGCAAAAACCCAAACTCTTTAAACTAGGTGTGAAAACAGCCTTAGTCAGGGTAGCTACAAAATTGTAAACCTGCCCCTGCAGCAAGATATGGGAAATAATATGAACAGAATCTCAGGTGTTACCTAATTTAGATGTGTCTCTTTTGTAAAAAGCCTTCTGAGCTCTACCTAACAATTTCAGAGTTTGATGTCTAGGGCTGCATTGACGTGTATGGAAGTGCACAGCAGTATCAGTATGACACTCAAATTGACATAACAGATAAATTAGCATTTGTATTGGCTTAAAAAAGCAAACCGGTCTTAAACAAACCTTGTGACTTCAGTGTGAGTGGGCGGGGCTAAACTGCTGTAGGCTGAATAGACAGATATAACTCCAAACAGGCTGTTTTTACAGCTTATTTTCCATGTATGGACAAGTTATTTCACACAAGTGAGCAGAACTTGGTTTCTGGGCTCCCGAGTGATAGAACCCTGTAAGCGTTGACCCTGTCATCAGGAGATGCCACAGCTGTCTGTGGCTGGTAGTCCAAAAGAGCACAGTTCGTCTCGCTCTCTCTTGGTGGGCATGATGGCCCCTCGTCTCCCCCATCGCTCAGTGCAGGCACCTGTTGGCTAATGTAACAGAACTTGTGGTTAGCGTTCTCCTCTGAGCGCGTTCAGCCACCCAGTGACACTGTGTTAGCAGCAGTTTGAAAAGATGCCTTGGCTTTACAGGACTCTGAGGAAGTCGGTGTTTGCCTTCACCCTCCTAGAGCTGGTGATATGATTGGGGGAGTTGTAACTAGTGGGTGGAATTGGACTAAATTGAAGAACACTTTTTTTGTAAAATGTCAAAAAAAAAAAAAAGTTTTTCCAAGATATTGGAAACTAAATTGTTTTATGTGATAGTTTTGTGTTTTCTTTGCACATCGTCCTTCTGAATGATGTCTGTGTTATACAGAAGTATGTCCTATTTGATTTTGAGTTTGTTTACTGATTTCTTTCTCTCTTGTTTTGACCCCAGGATCGTCAAGGACGTGTCAAGTAAAGAGCTGCTGGTTTGGGCAAAAGACTGACATGGTCCTGCTCTCCATACACCCAGATCTTTTCACTGATTATACCGGGGAAAGACTTAACCAAGGATTCAAAACAAGAAAACAAAAAAAGAATGGAAAAAAAACTAAATGAAGACTCTTCTCTTGATTTCTGTTGACTTAAAAGACTTACTTTGAACTTGTAGTAAAAAAAAAAGAAAGAAACGATTATTCATAGGACTACGACTTAATAATTCTATAGGATTCTTAGGTGACCATTTTTCCCTCCTTTTTTTCCATCCCATCTGTTTCGCTGCCTCCTTTTTTCTCTGACTTTTTTTGTTCTGTTTATGGGGTTTTTTTTTCCTTCCAAATTTTTTAAAAAAATCTTCTGATTTTACAGTTCGAGAGCAAGACATGGCCTCTTCCTCACTAGAGTGAATTTTTTTTTTGTTTTGTTTTGTTTGTTTTTTTTTGTTTTTTTTGTTTTTTGTTTTAGTTGGATTCTGTCTGTGCGGCAGTCTGTTTCATTTCTTTGTTTAAAAACAAAACAAAACCCTCCCCCCTTTTTTTATTGGAATTGAAATAGTCCAGTCAGGATGCACAGCGGGAGTGGCCTTCTCTGGACATTGCATTGTGGGTAATTCTATGGTATTCTGTGCAAAGTGTCAAAGGAAATAAAGATGTATGTCCTAATCTTTTCTCTCCCTTAAGAATGGAAAGAAATAAGAAAACATGAATGTTCAGGGTTATTATTATTTTTTTTATTTGTTTTTGTTTTTTTCCCCCTCCTTGTCACTCAGAGATGGTCAAGTTTATGCTGAAACCAGATTTGTTCAGTTTAGCCGTTTGTCATTTTTATGGTGTGCAGAAACGGGAGGAGTCATCTTGGCTTGTTTTCTGTTTTCCACTTTTTCTTCGACTTTAGAAACAACTAGTCGCTATGGGCTCTCTTATGTCATCCAGTTTTTGTTTTTTCTTCTCCGTTTCTTAAGTCAGCATCGAGGTGGGCCGCGGACCCTCTCTTTCTATTACTCAGTTCATCGAAATAAATGTGGTATACTCAGCAGAACATGTGTGTGTGCATTTTCCCCCTTGTTTGACTAAAATGCTCCCTCGCCGTGCACACTAACCCTCGATCTCCCCTTCGCCCTCCCTCGTCCCCCTCGCTCCCTTCACTCTGCCGCCTGCGCACTCCACCCACCCGTCCCTTCCTGTAGTATGTTAATGTTGGTGCATTTAAAGGGGTCCTGCAAAAACTTCTTCTGGCATTGATCAGTGGCGGAATAAAAAAAGCTGCTAAAAAGACTTGTGCTTGATATCTGTCTTTGTGTACAGCTTAAAGGGGAACTGCACCAGTTTTGTCAATTTCTGCATTTAGCGTGCTGTGGTGTGAGTGGAGACTCTTTTCTTTACAGTGGTGGTGATAGGAACCAGGGGTGGCCATGACTGCAACACAAATATAGACATTTTATTTACTATCCAAAACCACCAGTGAACCTACATGAGTGTGCTAAATTTATATGGAATGTTGATGATGGGAAAATAGAGGAAAATCTGAAATAAGTTCAGGGACTATTTTGCCTCACAACACCCTGCATGTTATGGATCCCTCCACCATGAATGGAGTTCAAGGCCAAAATCCTCAAAACCATCATAAAAGTGTCCATCATCAGGCAGTGAATTCATAACAATTTCATGTAATAATTTTATGTGAGGGAGGTTTTAGGGGTGGATGTCTGGTTCCTATCACCACCACTGTGAACAATTCTAAGTTTCTCTAGAACAGAGCATTTCGTACCAAACCACTCTGAATGACTGTTTACATCTTGACCACTTATACATTTTGGAATGGCCTTTAATTCAGTGCTGGTGTAGGACACTCAGTAAAGCCACGGATTCAGAAATGTTGCCTGTGCTGCCAACAGTGTTTTGGAATTTATGAACCTATTTTGCTCTTCATCTCTGAACCTCTCTGAAAGTTTGTAGACACCAGCGTTTCTCCTGGTGTTAAAAGTGAGTTTGAGCTGCAGTAATGGCCTCTACTCCTCTGGGAAGGCTTTACACTAGATGTTGAACATTGCTGTGAGGATTTGATTGAGCATTAGTGTTGGATGGTCAGTTCTGGATCACTCCAACTCATCCCAAAGGTATTGGATGGAGCTCCATCACTCCAGGGAACACAGGTCCACTGATCCACAGCCCAATGCTGGGGGTGCTTTACACCCCTCTAGCCCACACTTGGCATTGGACACGGTGAGCTTAGGCTCATGTGCAGCTGCTCCAGAGCAGCTGTAGGTCCATGCCCTTTATGGAGGATTACAAGTTGTGTTAGCAATGGGTGCCCTTAAACCAGCGGAATGCACTCATTGAAAGGGCTGTCTGGATACTTTTGAACACACAGTGTACTGAATAACTAAAACCGCCGTTATTATATTATTTTACCTCCTTTTCTGATTTGTATGTTTAGGCGAAGTTTCCTGTTCCTGTTTGTTTGAATTACGTTTGTTCAGAACTGAATGTGGTCTGATTTTATTTTGATCTCTAATAGACTTGGGTTTTTGACACTGTATTACACACATATATATAGAAATGGACCAGATTCAGAAATGCTAGCCTGTTTTTAGCGATGTTAATGTACTTCAGTCCATGTTTATAGAGAACGGTGAGTCATACAGTGTCAAAAACCACTTAAGTCTATTAGAGTTACTGAACGACTTTAATGCGGTTTGAGGCATGTGATGATTTAGGCATGCAGTTAGCACCATGCTAATTGATGAGGTTTAAGCTTTCATTACTTGTTAGCCTCATAGCAGTGCTAAAGCTGAAGAAGCAAACTTCAGACACCAAACACTTAAAAATGATGGTTCTTCAAGGGTTCTTTAGTAAAGAAAATGGTTCTATATAAATACGAACATTCAAAGAACTTCAGGTTGATGGAGAATGTGCTGTAGATGGGTCTATATAGAACCTTTTGAAAGGGTTGTATATAGCACCAAAACACGTTCTTCTAATGTAACAAGCCTGACACTATAACAATAAAAGGACCCATTTTGGTGCTATATAGAACCCCTTTTTTTTTGTTTTTGTAGGTTCTATGTAGAATCAGCACATTCTCCATCAATCTGAAGAATCCTTTCACCATGCAAAGAACACTTTAGTCATGGAAAGGGTTCTTTAAATGTTCATGGTATTATATAGAACCATTTTCTTTACAAAAGTACCCTTGAAGAACCATCACATTTAAGCGTGTACATTTGGAGTAAGAGGGGGGGAAAGTGACAGAATTCGATTTGTCTCCAAACTGTTGCTTTAACTTTTGGTCTAAACCCAGCCGTAAGAGAGTGTGTTCACACTTAATCAGATACCTGCTTCAGTGCGTTTACACTTAATCAGATAACTGCAGAAAATCAGATTGTGTCAGTAACTGCTTGAGTGTTTTTATGCTCTTGAGTAATCGGATAACAGGGAAACTCTGTGTCTACATGAGTCAGACAGTAATTAGATTTCGGCTTTACGTTCAGCCAATAAACAAGACGTGACGTAAACGTGACGTAAACATAACGCTAAACTCAAACGTCATGCAGCTGCTTTTTTAAAATATCAAATCACTGTGTTGAACAATATGAACATCATCTAGAAGATGAAGAATATTTAAATCCTTCATTTCGTTGGATTCAGCGTCGCTCCAAAAGTGCTGTGCTGCGTTTCGTGGGTGTCATGTTAAACGCTGCTTGCTGTTTCTGGGACAGAGAGAAACGAAAGAAATCAGAGTGAAAACCCCCATTACTGAGCTCAAATCCAGCCTTTTTATCAGATTTAAACAATTAGAGTGTGCTGATGTGTCAGTATTATGTTTTGTAAATACTCTTTTCTTACGTCAGGGCTTTGTCTCACAAAGCAGAATTTATAGCTTAGCCAGCTACTTGTTAGCTTAGCTCGGGAAACTTGTATTTTCTGTCTTGCAACTCACGCTGCACAGCTAACCTGCTCCAGATTAAATTCAGGATTACAGATCATAAATGGCATTTGACCAATGAGGGATAGTCGTGGCGAAAAATATCACTAACACAGTGGCAGTGGAGACAGCGCTGCTTTTTATTGTTGTGAAAGTTCTACTTTCTACATATTTGCGTGGTATGATTTTTTCCTCATTTGAAAAATAATGCCTTCAAATCATGTTTTACATGATGAGCTGTTCGTCATAAGCATCATGCTTTCATATACCTAGGTTAACAGAGAAAGATGCTAACCACTAGCGTAAAACATGCTAACACTCAAAAAAAACATTCAACCTAATGAGAAACTGTAGAACAGACTCGGTTTATATCACAATACCTACATTTAGAGTCAGTTATTCATTCAACCTAATGAGAAACTGTAGAACAGCCTCAGTTTATATCACAATACCTACATTTAGAGTCAGTTATTTATTGTAAACCTAAACAAATTTTGTCAGATTTATCACTATTTTACCATCAACCTTACAAGAAGACACCAGCATGCCTCGGGGGGATTTAGCGCAGGTTGCTAACCACCTGTTCTTTGAGCCTCAAGAACAGAAAGGCCAGGTTGTAGTTTGCCAGAAGCCTGTCGAGATCTGGGACAGAATCTTCTGAACAGATGAGTTGTAAGTTAACCTGCGCATGAAAAATGAGTGTCTGGTAAGGAAATCTCCTTATCTGGAGTTCTTCAGTGCTAAAAAATGGCCCATTACAGGCCTGACAAAAGCATCAGCAGAGGAGATACAATGCATCTACTAATCACAAGCTTCAGACAGCGTTTACTTATAGCGAGCTAGTTATTATGTTGACCTGACAAAGTAACAGCTTAGCAACCACCAGTGATTCCATAGCTGTGGCTTAGCAACACCTTAGCAATCACCTGGGATAACAATGCAGTGACGTAGCAACCAATTGGGATACCATAACAACAGCCTAGTGATACCATGGCAACCTCCTGGGACAACATAGATACACCTTAGCAACTCTTGGTATGGAGCCCCACTGATGACATCTTGCTTAAATAAAAATAATGATCATTCCCACACCTTACTAAGTTGTGGCCACAACTTATCTCGTTCCCATGCCTTACTAAATCGTGGCCACGCATTAGGATCTCATTCCCACGCCTTACTAAATCATGGCCACAACTTTATTATCTCGTTCCCTTGCCTTACTAAGTTGTGGCCACGCTTTAGGATCTCATTCCCACACCTTACTAAGTCGTGGCCACAACTTATTTATCTCATTTCCCCTTACTAAGTTGTGGTCACACAGTAGGATCTCGTTCCCATGCCTTACGAAGTCATGGCCACAACTTAATTATCTTGTTCACCCGCCTTCCTAAGTTGTGGCCACGCATTAGGATCTCATTCCCACGCCTTACTAAGTTGTGGCCACAACTGAATTATCTCATTTCCCCCATACTAATTTGTGGTCACGCATTAGGATCTCATTCCCATGCCTTACGAAGTTGTCGCCACAACTTAATTATCTTGTTCCTATGCCTTACTACATTGTGGCCACACATTAGGACCTCATTCCCACTCCTTAGGAAGTCATGGTCATGCATTAGGATCTCGTTCCCATGCCTTACTAAGTCGTGGCCACAACTTAATTATTTCGTTCCCACACCTCACTAAATTGTGGTCATGCATTAGGATCGTGTTCCCATGCCTTAGTAAGTCATGGCCATAACTTAATTATTTAGTTGCCCCTTACTAAGTCGTGGTTACGCATTAGGATCTCATTCCCACACCTTACTAAATCATAGCCACAAATTAATCATCTCGTTTCCAAGCCTTACTAAGTTGTGGCCACGCATTAGGATGTCATTCCCACACCTTACTAAGTCGAGGCCACAATTTAATTATCTCGTTTCCATGCCTTGCTAAGTTGTGGCCATGCATTAGGATCTCATATCCATGCCTTATTAAATCGTGGCCACGCATTATTTTTAGTTATATGGGATGTCTCCTGCAGGGCTCTGTACTTCGGCAACTTTCTCCTTCTAGTTCATGGGTTAAGGTTCGTGTTGATTTGTCCAGTTACTTTTGGTGCCCCAAATGTTACCTGCCTGAGATGAATGGTCCACCAAAATAGATTTAAATACTCTAAACTTCAACAGCACAGAGTCAATATAAGAGCTGTAAAATAGCACCTGAGAGAGTACTGGATGTCACGCTTCTAAATGACCACTTGATGGCGCGGATTCTTATACAGTGGTTAATGTCTCTGCTCAGAGGAGCTTTACATCAGGCTATAGGCAATAACAGCAGTGCAGTCGTCACCCTGCATCAGGGGTCT